ATATTGAAGCGCGTGGGAGGTATTCAAATGCTACGTAAGTCACAAAGATGCATAAAATTAAAAAAAAAAGTAAGTTCAGAGATTAATAGAACCTTAGTTTTTGCTAAGAGAGATTTCAGTTATAGTCTAAGAGTGTACTTGTGCATTTTCCCAAAATTTAAAGTACAAGTTTGAATTGGAAATTTTCAAGTGCTCCCAACATGGACAATACTTTGAAGCAACCATTAAATAAAATTGTATATATATTTCCACAAAAAAAAATCATGAATATGACAATTACAACAGAAACTGGGAATTCAGAAAGATTAACAAGATAAGTATTCAGTAATCTAAAAAGTTCATAAAACCTTATTCAACACAAACTATATAAACACACTTTTCTATCTTCTCTGAAAATTGAATGCCTTGATTCCCAAAGCAAATGTGAAGGCGAAAACAACAGCAAATGCAACGATCACGCCTGCAACAACACCGAGAAAATCGTGCTTAATTCCGTAGTCATTTCTCAAGTATTCTTCCACAGTTTGGCCATTGACGATATCTTGAAGGTCTGCAAACTGCGATGCAATCAAACCATACAACGTCCAGGCAACAGGGCACGCCCAGTAGTACCATCTCCACCATATGGGAATACGCTGTTTTTTTAGTCAGGGGAAAATGATCAGTTGTAAACGAAAATGACAAAAAACTCAACTATGTGTATATGTTATAGACGAACTTACAGGTCGTGGAACGATGAATCCTGAGAAGAGATTCCATACTGTATAGAAGAATCCAGCGACAATGGAAGCAACGTTTTGATTCGGGGTAATAGCCACAGTCATCATGCCAAAGAAGGTGAAGTATAGGAAAGTGAAGAACATGAAGAAAAAGTACCAAAAGAATTTTGCTACGGTCCATTCGAATCCAATCATAGAGTAGACAATGAGACCATAGACAACAGCTTGTACAAATACATAAGGAATTTCAATAAAAACCTGCACGAAAAAAACATTGAAGTTTTCGTAAATAAATGTGAATGGTTTTTTGAAGTTTTAATACGAAAAATTTTCATTGTTCGTCTAGCTACTTACTTGTGCAAAGGCATATGGTATGGCAGAGTACATCCCGGCAGCTTTTTCTCTGTAGAATACAGTACGTTCAACCGATACAACAGGCTGAACTGATGATGCATTTTGTACACCGAGGAAGAGAACAGCAGCGTACATAGATCCCATCGCGTTGGTTAGATCTTGAGGCCTACTCCTGTAATCGGAACCAAAAAATAAAGAAGCAAAATGAGACTTTCTTAGCATTTGTTTAAGTTAAAAGTTGAAAGTTTGTCTTCTTATTTCATTTTTTTCGTGTTATAGTACTTACACTTTGGTACCGAGATCCCAGAACATTGACCCGAACATGAGTGCTATGAACGTAGTGAAGAGAAATCTGACTGCAGTGTAAGCCGGATTACGCCAATACGACCAGTGTTGCTTCCATAAGCAAGCCATACATTGGACCCAAAATGGCTGTGAGAATTGGTTTTCAAAATGCAGGTCACTTGTGCCTGGTCGTGGCACACTTAGTTCCGTAATCAAGGCTTTGTTCCTCCTGCAGAGGTCTGAGTTCTTGTATAATTCGGTGAAATCGACCCCTAATGACATTTCTTGAGATGAAGATGTGACTTCTAACATCCAAGTTGCTGGATTGTAA